AGACCACCATACATGCAGTATTAGTAAGAAAAAGATATTATGTGTCTTTTATTTTTATTCCTCGGTCAGGGCATTCTAAAAAAAAAAATGGGTTGATTTCAATGTTTTAACCTTACTGTTTGTAACTTCTTTATTAAAATTTAAATACAAATTTTGCAATTCAAATCCTTTCAATAAGACACATATTTCAAACACATAATATTGTTTGATGCCCAATTCAGGTGAACAACCATATGGGCTACAATTTTATTGATGACATAAAAAAGTACATAAATTTTTGTTTAGTTTTGAAGAGAAATTGTAAACTGAGAAAAATGGGTTTCAACTGTTTACACTTTTCAGAATTTATGGCCGAGATATGTCCTAATGTTACTGAGACCAAATTCATTTCGTATGACTTTCCCAAAATATAGCATTCCACGCCACTAAATGTCCATATTTGGTTGTGCAGAGAGATATGAATCAGTTATTACTACGGGGAAAAAAATACAACAATTTTGTAAATGATAAAAAATACAGCAAGCATAACTTTTTGTACTAAAAGTGACCACAAAAAGTTTAAGTGTGGCAATTCGGTTTTTTTTTTTAGATTTGTTTGTTTTCTTTTTTTCTTTTTCAAGGCTATCATTGATTTTGCGGAAACAACGTAAGAAAAATATGGAGGAAAACCTTTTTCTAAAAACAAAATAGGACTGCTTCATTAACTCTGAATGTTGTGATTTGTGAAAACAATCTTTTTATAGTTTGGGAAAAACTATTAAAGAAACTGGATCTTGTGGGATTTGTCAAAAGCATGACAGGATAATTTTAAAGTTCAGCAGATTTAGAGTAAAGTTCTGTAAATTCGTCTGATTTTATTTTATGCAACTTAAGTTTGGTTTTCAAACTTTTTTGCATGTTTGTAAAAATGTTGATTTTGGATTTCCCACAGATATTTCCCAGGACATGGAAATCACCTTAAAGAGAATGTACAACATTTGCTTTTGCTGCAATTTTCAATAAATGGATTTGGACGATTAGTATGTTATAGCAAATATTGTTAAACTGACTTGTTTCACATTTTGGGATAGTAGATGCTGGAAAAACCAAGAAAACCAACCATGTTCTTGTAGTCTGGTTCTCTGACCCCACTTAAGATGAAACGGAGAAATTTTATAGACTTTGGAGAATTATAAGGTCAGAGAATCAGTCTGGCAGGCTTGTACCACTTCACAGGTGTGTAATCAATTGCAAAGAAAATGCGGAACAACTGTTATGAAAAATTCGGAGCAGTTTTTGAAGGAAAAAAAAAGTTTTCTCCAACGCTGGTCGGCCGACCAGCGTTGGAAAAATACAAATTTTCTTGAAAATGTCAGCACACCAGGAGACACGATTTTACAGGATGCTTTAGACTGTCATTTCCCTTACAATCCAGTAAGGTACTTTGTGATAATTTGATCATTTCATTTGTTGATGTTTGCAAATGTTGTATCTTCCCTTTAAGGAACCTGATGGCTTTTCCAGAATTTTTAGCAGATCACGATACCCCATGAGGCCGTGACATACATGTAGGCAAACTAGGTTTCAGCAAGTTTGTTTACAAGCACGGAACACAATAGACTAGAGTACTGTACACTGGCAACCGTGTGGTGGATTGCCCAGTACAGTACAGGGGGTCCCCCATCAATGTCTCTGATAAACTCTAATCATCTTTAATTGACCATAATGCTCCTTTCTTGCACCAGCAACAGAATACCTGTTGTGAGAAATTGACCAAAGCTCAACAACAACTGTGTTTCCGAAAAGTGTTTGATAATTATCGCTCTAATGGCAAGATCCGACAAGCCCGGTGCTGAGGGTCCGCACTCCGAACTTTTGAAAGACAACTTGGAATGACTGGTTTAGATTTGTTGTAGAATTCCTCTGCAGGAATGGACGGCAATTAACGGTTGTTAGTGAATCACTGAATGGCTAGGATTTAATGAATGAAATCACAACTATTGAGGTGAAGCAGGGGGGGAGACCAGTTTGATAATGATGAGCTTAAAAGAGAAAACTGTTGGTCCACTTTTGTGAAAAAGAATCTGGCACATGTTTGGCTATAAACAGACAGTTGGGACACTAGTATGCTCCTTTACTTCACATAGGCTTTGATGACTCCAAAACGTTTATAGCACTAATAAAAACGTAAACATCATTGGGGCAACTTTACGAAAATGTAACGTGTGTAACCGATTTTGTGCATCTTGTTTTAAGCATACATAACACATTTTTCTGGATGTCATCTTTGGTGCTTAGGTAGGTCTAGGTCTATTCTATATAGCTACCATGGGATAACAGTTATTACACCTTTTCAGTAAGGTAATTACAGCCCAAGGAAACTCAAAAGTACATCAAAAATGTAACGCGAGTAACCGTGGAATTGTCCATTGGGTTCCCGCGAAGTGGAAGATTTTTGAGGAAACAGGAAGGTTTTGGGCAATACTTCAAAAGGACTTAGGTGGGGATACCTGGACAACGATGATTAGACTAAACACTTTTCCTTTTTTAACAGTTTAGGCCTTCAAGACCCAATTCTGATGAATGAACAAATTAAAACTGCGATCATAATGGAAGCATGTGTAAGAGTGAAAGCCGGAATTTGTAATCCGATTACTGCCGGCCATTATATTCAAAAGTTAAATGGCCCGTGACTTAACTACTGCTGTGTGTCGGCACCTTTTTGCTATTATTCCCATCATCCCTTGGGGGATCGCAATTCGCAGGTTTTTGAGTGGGGTGAACAAAGACTGCATAATAGTCCTTAATAATAGTTCCGAGGTTTTGAGAGGAATAAAGTACAGGCATGTAGGGTCGTGCTAGTTTGGTGATTCATTTTTCTGTCATTACGGGAGTCATTCTGCTTGTAACACAGCACTGGCAATTGGAAATACAAAATTGATGTCAAGTTAGTGATTAACATTTGGGGTTTTGGTATCTGAATTTTATTTTTATTTAAACCTTAATTCAGTCAATTGTATAGATTTTGAAATTGATAATTACATAATTTGACCATTGTACAACAGACAATAATAATTTTGTACAAAGTACAATGTTTAATTTTCATTATCTTTCAAAAGTGAACTCTACCCAAAATTGTATGTTGCCAAATTTTATGAAATTTTCCAAAAATCTTCCAAAATCATACATGTACATTGTGTAGAAAAGGCCTCCATATGAGAGTAATAGATTTCTATAGACCTTATTCATGAGGAAAAACATTTTTGATCGTGTTCCCTGAATGTATTTTATAAATTGCAAAACTGTTGAATAGGATGGTGCCAGACTATTTAAGAGGAATGTACATCATTGGCTTTTGCTGTAATTTTCAAAATGAACTATTGAGGGGTTAGATCAAATATTGTTACACTGACATGTTTGAAGATTTGTGTTCGAAAATGCTGGAAAAAACCAAGAAAAACTAAAATGTTTAAGTAGTCTGGTAAAATGGATCAATTTATAGATGTCGGAAAATTGTAAGGTGAGGGAAGCAGTCTAGCTGGCCTGCACCCGTTCATGAACATGTACCAATAGCAAACAAATTTGGACTGAAAAAAATTGCAAATTTGGAGCAGTAGTTGAAAAATAGTTAGGTTTTTCAACGGTGGTCGGCCGACCACCGGTGGAAATGAATACAAAAATACCATTTTCTTGATAAATGACTTGACACCAGGTGCCATAATTTTACAGGATGCTTTAGACTGTCATTACCAACATCCTAGTAAGGTATTTCGTAAAACTTGGTAGTTTTATTTTTCGATGTTTGCAAATGTTGTTTATTCCCTTTAATATGGCCAACTCGTGAATAAAGCGTATACCCATACACATGTACCAGCACATGTACATTGGCAAATCTATGTGCACACAGTACATGTACTACATGTACAATAACATAAATGTGCGCAAACAACCTCATACATGAATGTTCCGCCTTTAGGCATGACTGCACATCACATCAGGTCACGAGGGGCGTCCGAGGGTTAAAACTGCAAGTGACGAATTACGGGCGGATATTAGCAGTGGCTTGTTTTTGTGCAAACTCTTTTCCTGTTTTGGAGCGCCTTGCACTCAGAAACCTGTTCATTGTGAAATGCACTTGTAAACTGTTTCAGTTTTTGGACGCACGCCAAAAAAACTTGTGGTCATGTTTTTAAAAACGTGAAAGTTAACTGCTCTAAAGTGTGTTGAGATTAAGAAATGGTTAAACTATTTTGCAATGGTTTCATTTTTTGTTGGAGGAGGTATTTGTTTACTTGAATGCATGCTACAAATTGTTCACTTGTGTCAATTGTGTACAAGTGTTCCCTTTCTTGTAAACTTGTTGCTCTTTTCCTTGCTCGTATTTTTAACAAATTTAATTTTGGGATACTTGTCAAGAACAATTTTTGTTGAGAAATGTAAACATTTCCTGTGATGACTCTCGGGTCAGGTCAACTCATAGTAAAGGGGAATATTGTGTGTAATAATAAATAAACAGATATACACGTGTTTGTTTGTGTGCATTTTGATTATAATGTTTACTAGGTGGAATCCTTGCAAACCGAGAACCAGACTATTTTTGCTATTGTCACATTGCACAGCGCCCTCTTTTGTCTGTGCGCAGAGCCAATAAAGCACGGATTTGCAACACTTTTTTTTCCAATTCTTCACCTTCTTCACTGTTCAAAATTAACTGCCTTAGTTAGTCAGAATGAAATCAAAGTTCAAGCTTGAGTCAAGTTGATACGCCTGTTGTCTCTAGTCTACTTTAACGGTGCTATTCGTAGCCAATTTACTTTAATCTGCGTACCACCGCACAACGAGTGGATTAAATCAGTAACATTCATACAAATCTAGGCTTGTAAAAGTGGATTCTACGCAATACATGTACCTACCACAGTAGCGTGTGGGTAACAAACATGTATAAACAAAAATCAAAATCCGCAATAAAAATCTGAAATTGGTTACACCTTGCTCTATGGTTACAGTTTATAAAAACTTACATATTGCTGCCATGCTCTGTATTGTCTCTGTCTGCTCAGGAACATCTCGGTTTGGAATGCTTTCGATGATGTGCACGCTGTGGTGCTTCTCTTGCTCGGCCTGCTACGGGCGGGAACGGCTGGACCGACGGTTCCGATACTGGACCGAACCTCGCAACGACTGGGTCCGTCTGGCCAGCGGCCCACCCGCCGCACCGTTGCGGCTCTGCAGATCCGCGGCGACTGCCCCATTGTCTTGAAAGTTATAAATCATCCCCCGACGAAAAACTAATACAAGTATTCCACAACAGCGGTGTATTAAAATCCAAAATGGCTCCCGAGGTTAACTTGCAGTTTGCCGGAGTTTCACAATCACTGTGGTTCGGTGAGCTGAGGTTTCCGAACCCCATTGCCGGGGCTCGTGCACATTTTGTG